AAAAACCAATCCTTTCACCTTGTAGCTGAGTCAATATTTCATCCTCAGTGGAAAACATCATGTGTAGTGTAATCTGACTTTATAAGAACTCATTACTCCACCAAGCATGCTATACATCATATTAAACTGTCTGTGCATAATCCTGAGGGCGGGAACAGGTGACTCAGCACTTTTAACGGAGAGGCAGCAGTTTCTTCTGCGTGGAACAATCTGCAGATGCACGATGCAAAGCTGGACGGATAGTCAATCATGATTTACATTTCATTTGGGAATATTATTGTTCACTATGGTTTTCAGTGCAATCTACTTATCAATGTAAGTGTGCAAAACTTTTCAGGTGGTGGGTTTAAACTACATTATCCATGAGAAAGTTCTGCTCTGCCTTGAAATGTACTGAATTTTCTGGTAAATTAAGGTCAATACACAAATAAAAATGTAGGGATGGAATTAGTAATTAATAGTAAGAGGGTCAGTGAGGGGCTGGTGCTATGAGACTTGGGTGGCATCTCTGATTGCCACCCCCCTGACCCAGAAATGGAATAAAGGGTAGAGAATGGATGGATGGATGGAATATAGACTCATTGGCCAATTATTCATAAAATTAATCTAAATCAGTTGTTGAAAGGTCAGTGAAAATGACATTTTTTGTTTATATTTGACCAAAAGAAAGCTCCAGTGGTGCCCCTGGAGAACATCTACTTAGAGATGACTTTTTGTACCAACTCACATTTTTATTTTATTCTGCACTCGTTACAGATGCAGACAGGCAGACAGGCAGACAGTGAGACAGACAGACATACAGACAGACAGACAGCCAGGACAAACAGACAGATAGTAGATAAACAAACAGACAGAAAGAAAGACAGACAGATAGACAAACAGACAGACAGGCAGGCAGCCAGACAGGCAGACGGACATATAGACAGGACAGACAGACGGGACAGACCAACAGACAGATAGACAGTCAGACATACAGACAGATGGGTCGGGTCAGACCAGTGGGGGAGGGTCCCAGCTCAAAAGTGGCCAAAATGACATGCGCTGACATGCTGCAATACCACCCCGGGCCGATGGGGGTGGACCCAGAAGTAGAATTAGCCAATGCTAACATATAGCATCTTCTTACCTCTCAAAAACGTCTTTACAGGATGGACCAAAAGTTGGCTCTTGGCCCAAAGCTCCGTTCCACATGTGTGTGAATGCTGAGGGGGGTGATTTTTTGAAGTCTCTCGTCCAAATGAATGGAGCTGCTCCGGCTGACGTATGCGCAGATGCGTTTTTTCACAATTTTCTTGTGGGCGGGACCACTCGCGGCCATTTTGGATAGCTCCAGTAGAGCACATTTTTTGGCCCATTAGTTAGAACGGCGGAGATAGGCGTGACTCTGTCCGTTAATATATACAGTCTATGGGTCAGACAGAAAGAGAGATAGACAGATAGACAGAGATAGACAGACAGATACATACTACACAAGGCAAATTGCATCGTCTAATTGTTCACAGAGCCAAGGCAAGTTTATTTGTAGAGCACAACTAATACACAAGGCAACTCAAAGTGCAGAATAAGATAGAAACAATCACACAAAGCATTAAAATCATTGTACGTCTTTACCCTACAAAAAGGGTAAAGAAAAAAATTCATCAATTGTATACACACCTGTATAAGACAAGAATTTTTCAATATTATAGAAAGATAAAACTTCCCTTCAGCATATTTAGATCTACGTAAGCTAAAAAAAAAACCCCTAATGGAGAAACTATTTGAATAATTGATAGTAAGATATTGAAGATTTGATAGAAGTTAGTTTGATTACAGCCCAAGTTCTACCATTTGTTTTCCTGCGTAGACAATCAGCATAATCCTTTAGAAATGAAACGTACAAATGGCAAATCCCAAACAATTATGCATGCTCTATTTTGCTCTGCTGACAGATGCGTTTAATTCATATTTGAACAAGTCAGCGGCTTTGTGCCTTGCTTTTCGATTCAAAACATGCATTTGCCTTTTCAGCTTAAGGTCTTCAAAATCACTTGTTATTCGTGTCGTTGTAAAATAATGAGCCTCATCCCGGGTGTCAAAAACAGCACAGTGCTAATGGCAAAAATGATTAAAAAATGAGTTGTATTTGTTGCATCCTTGTTATTATGGCGGTGATGGAAAACAATGATAGAAGCACACACAGGCCTTACCTGTTTAACAATCATTTTGAATTAATAGACTTGCAAAATTATGTAGTCTTTCTTGCGTAAGTGCACTGGCAGAGGGGAAAAATATGCCTGAAAGGAAGATGGCCTTGCTTGATCGCTTGAGGAGGCTTTATTGAATACGTCAGCAGCCGCAGTACGAGTACACAAAGTTGTTCGCATGCGTCCGTGTCGTCCTTGGAGAGTGTGTGAACATCAGAAAACAATGAAGGAGAGGCCTGGCGGAGACTGTGGACACGGCTAACTGGAAACACAAAGCCTCCCATGCAACTCGCAGCAATCATGGCTCAAGGATGTGTTTTTTATTAGAAATACAACATGTTTTAGGATAATCTGGGAAAAATGAATACAAACTAAACACAATCGATGAGACGACTGAAAAGTGGGTTAAAAAGCTATGTGTGACTAACCCATACAGTAATCAAATATGAAAAGCAACTATTGAGGCATAAAAATATAAAAACATTAAAATGTAGTGATTAACAAGCAATATCCATGAAAGTACATTTGAGAGTTTGCTTGAATAACTGTAATCATAATAATGGTATGACAATTTTCAGTATTGTTCCTTTTTTTTTTCTGGTTAGCTCAGGGCATGTCAATGAACACACTTCTCCAGACTGTAGCCTTGGGCTAATTTGCATCTGTTATCCCACACTCGCACTCACAAACACTCGCTTATTCACTCTCAACTATTGTACTGTACATGTTTTAGTGGTAGAGAAACATGCAAAGTCCATACAGAAAGGTCTGGAAGTGGAATCAGACACAGGATCTTCTTGCTGTGAAGCACAAGCGCTAACCACTGCGCCCATGTACATGGGGTGGGAGTCTACCATGGATAAAACTATTATAATATCAGGAGTCTACATGTTTTTCTTCTACCACTAACCCACAACCCTAATTGTAAATATATTGCCATGTGGCGAAACTGTTAAATATTGCTTGTGTATGATGTATGTATGGTATGCATGGTTATGCATCTATATGTGTTTACTATATGTACAGTGGGCAAACATTCAATTAAACTGGAGGAAATTGATTCACAAACAACGACATGATACAATTTCTGGATGAATAAATAACAAACTAATATAAATGAACATAAAAGTCACAATCTCCAGCCATTATCCTCCATGTATTCTTATTATTGTAGCCTTCACATAGACATTTTTGTAATTGAAAATGTGGTCTACATCAAAAGCATCAACATAACAATGACAGCCGGAGAAACTGGAGACATTTCAAATTGAATAACTGCTGATATGCTGATGTCATTTCATTCACTGGACATAGAATAAACCAATAATGTGGTGCCATCTGTATGGCACCACATACTCCGGGCAAAAGCATATCCAGAGCTGTTTTTGTGAGTAATATTTTAATGACACATGTACTTTTTGATGGGGGTCAATTTACTTTCCTTTGTATTTCACTATAGTCACCAGCAGATTCTTATCTTCAAGGATTTGTCGATAACGTGAATGATCTGGGCGGGTGACGTATGGGCGGAGATAGGTGATAGGTGAAGCAGATCGATACAGGATTACTTTCCCATGCATGCATCAATGACAGGAAACTTTGGGAAAGATAATCACGAGGGAACCTTGTAATAACAAGGTGAAACGTATAATTTAAATAATCTATCCCCGGAAAAAAGAGCTAACAATGGAATAAAAACAATATTTCTCACACTCATTATCACCAGTGGAAAGCTTGGAGTTGACATCGCGCAATTGTTACTTAAACGAGGCTGCCATCTGCTGGTCACTCATCCACACTCTACAGTTTGGATTTTGGGAAATTATTTTTAAAACAGACAAACATTTTTTTGAGAAAAAATAATAAATACTATTAAATAAACTTAACAATTTAGAGAACCCTAACCCAACTCAACGGGGGTGGCCTTTAATGATATATATGCCGTCCCAACAGAAAGAGTTTTAAAAGTAAAGAGTGAAGAAATCAATCATTTATTTTCTGCATACTTAAAAGAAGCGCCATGTGAGTCACTTTTTGACGCTTTAGGCTGGAAATCGCTTGGCTGAGTGAGGGGGATCCTCTTTTTTTCTCTGAAAAACGTTTGTGAGCGAGGAAAATTATGTGGATTTTACTAGTTCGATTTTTTTGTGTGATTTGTAAGTTAGGTACCCCAGCTTTAAGCTTAACCATTATTTCAACTCAGCTCCAGCAATAGCATAAGATAGAATAGGTTTATTAAACAACAGTCCTCTGCTTAAGGCCTCCAGGGCGCGCCAGTCTCTTTAACAAACCTAACCACCTCACACGTGTGGATGAGTCAAGCCAACGCGCAGTTACCGTTTCAATCCATTTCAGTCTAAAACTGTTCCACTCAAGCCTGTTGCATCACTCGATCCTAAACATATACTTCCAATCGCTCATTAGAGCGAAGTCGGTTTCGACTTTAGGTGCGTAAAACCAACAATGGATCCAGGGTGACGCACAAACCTTAAGCGGAAACGTCTGCCTTCTACAGGGTGCAACTTGACGCACCCACCTTGTGCTACCTCCAGAGGTCCCTCGACAGTTTGACAGCTTCGCACTTCGTTTGGCCAACAACATTATACAGGACTGCGGCAACAGACGGACGCGCTCTCTCTGACTTTTACCCCACCTGAACATACACACGTGTGGCTTCTGCGTCTTCTCCTGGACATGGGGAACCGTCGGGACCCACTGTTGTAAACTCATGTCCTTCTTGTGAAATAGTGGGAGCTTTATCTTTCTTTTCTTCATAACTTTTCTCATTGGAAGTCGCGATATAGAAGCTTCAACATGTCCAAAAGCGCCACAGAGGAGGTGAACAAGCTCACGGAGAGTACATATAAGGTGAGTGTGTCGTGGAGAAGTGACAGGGGCAAATTGGAAATGTGTTTTAATGAGCTGCATGTGTCAGGTGCTTTTCATTGGGATGTTTCTGTACAGATTCCTAAAGTTGCCACATTTCTATCCTAAACAATTAACGCAATGGAATGGGTTTTGTTGGGAACTTTCCACTAATTTACCTGGAGACATCCTCATTCAACAGGCCTGCTTAATATCCTGAAATTGGATGACAGGCAGAGATGTGTTGAAATACTCTTATGGGTGGATAGCCCCACCCTGGGAGTGCCCTATGCTTCATTTTGAGTTACCAACCTGCCTGACTGCCCTTTGTGTCACTGAGAGATGATGGCATGTGTGTTGTTTTGACATGTTGTGCCGCCTGTAAACCCCAGTGTGTTGTGGCTGGGTGTATATAACCTGAATATAATTTATAGAGTTCAGTGTCTCTTTTGAATTTGTTCTCAATGTAGTAAAGGATACATGTTAAATATCGTTATTAAGTTCAATTCAAATGTGAATCCAATATATGATACAGATGCACACTGACATATGCCTTTGTTTGTTATCACTTTAGTTCAACAGATTAGTTCAGGGGCCTATGTTACAGACTGAAAAACTGTCTTGACTGGCATCAGGCTGTTCTGAGTTTTAAAATGATTTATAGCAGAGCTGAAGTTGGCTGTATGACAAATATTTACCATCTCACCAGCTACAGTAGCACCATTAACGGAAGTTTGTGACATAATCAAAAACCCCGTCAGTACAGTATGTACAAATTAAGTAAAATAAACGACTGAATTACAGAAACATGGGCTTTAGAACGAGTTACGACATGTCCATATTGGCTGTGCTGAAGTTGGATGGATGACACGGTAAACCTGGGCGGCACGGTGGCTTAGCAAGAAGGTCCTGGGTTTGAATCCTGGTCGGAACGTGGCCTTTCTGAGTGGAGTTTGCATGTTCTCCCTGTACTTGCGTAGGTTTCCTCCTGGTATTCAGGTTTCCCGGAACACTAAAAATATGCTCACTAGGTTAAATGCTCCAGCTCTGTTAGTCCTGACCAAGCCGAGCATCAACATCTGGAGATGGGTTCTCGGGCGCTGTTACTACGGCGACCACTGCTCCTGACGTAAGCCTTAGTGGCATCAGGATGGGTCAAATGCAGAGGATGAATTGCACTACGGGGATCTATAAAGTGCACCAAAAGATTGTGTTTATGATCTCAAATCTCTACTTTGGATTAGCAAGGCAGAGGGCCACATAAAATGACACTGAGGGCCGCAATTGGCCCCCGGGCCTAGGTTTGGTCATATAAAGGCTGATATAAAGACTTTATATTTCTCAATGAGTCCGTCATATATTAGTTTTACAGACTTTTTTTAGACAATATTCTAATTTTCTGTAAAAGTGACAGAGCAAATGTGTTGAATATAACAGGGATTGGGGGAAAAAATTAGTTAAAAATAAATAAATAAAGTATTTTCTCCATATTGACCGATGTATTTCAGATTCAATTTTTTTTACTATTATTGAAAGTAAAACCAAAATTGTATTTATATACAAATTTTCACAACGCATGAGGACACATGAGTCAGTAGATGAGTGTATAAGTGTGCCTCAGTGTGTCTATCTTATTCAGATACTTTATTGACCCCCACAGGAGAAATGTAAGTGTCCAGCAGCAGAAAAAAAAGTCTATAAACGACTACAAGTACAGTAGGTGTTGATTATCATGATATTGCAATCTTTATTGTTTTATTGCACAGCCAATTGTCCTCAAATTCGGTTTTAATTGTTTCATTGTTGACTTTTTTTATCATCACTGAGGTAATTAGATGATTGTATGTTTTGGGTCATCCTTTGTTCAACTCTTCCTCTACATGGTTCACTTTTGCCACTCTGTATGAACCAACAATGGTAATGTGGCCTGGGTGGCACACCTCGCAGCGATGCCTGTACCACTATTATATACGGTTCCTCCGCAGCACTCTCTTGAGACGACGACCAGCTCCATTGTATGATGAAAAGCAGCCAAAAGACTCCAGGATTAATAATTCAGCTTGTTGTGTGTGTTGCGTGGTAAGATTATCGGCCTAAAGCAAGCTTTCAATTGCCATCACAAGCCTTTACTGCACGCTGCCCCATAAGCACTCAGTGAGTCAGTTGTGATCTGGTCTGTGATCTTACTTCTCTGCATTTATCTTAGAAACATCCAACAACTTTTTTGCTCATATACGGTACAGACCAAAAGTTTGGACACACCGTCTCATTCAAAGAGTTTTTTTCTTTTCATGAATGTGAAAATTGTAGACTGAAGGTATCAAAACTATGAATTAACTCATGTGAAATTATGTACGTACTAAAAAAAAAAGTATGACACAACTGAAAATATGTCTTATATTCTCGGTTCTTCAAAGTAGCACCTGTTGCTCTGATTACTGCTTCACACACTCTTGGCATCCTCTTGATGAGGTTCAAGAGGTAGTGACCTGAAATGGTCCTCCAACAGTCTTGAAGGAGTTCCCAGAGATGCTTGGCACTTGTTGGCCCTTTCACCTTCACTCTGTGGTCCAGCTCACCCCAAAACCCTCTGGACTGGGTTCAGGTCCGGTGACTGTGGAGGCCGGGTCATCTGGCCCAGCACCCACCACTCTTCTTATTGATCAAATAGCCCTCACACAGCCTGGTGTGAATCTACAGGCAATAGTCATGAAAAGAAAGGACACTCATTGAATGAGAAAGTGTGTCCAAACTTTTGCTCATATACCGTACATCATCACATGCTGAGTCACAACATGACTTCATTTTATTAGAAAACATATCTTGCATACTACTGAGAGTTGAGTGAAGTTGGTCCTCTCTTTCTGCTTTTCTGTCTGAAAAAGTACTAAAACAGCTGAGGAACCTTACCTGAAACATGTGCAATGCGCAATACTGCAATTTCACAATGTCCACTGAATGTCACTTTATCTATTGATCCTGCCCTATACTGTATGTATGTAACTTTGCACTATATATAAAGATGGATATATTTATAGTGAAGCATTTACAGCTAGCTAAGTCACATAGCAGCTACTTATTTTGTTTTGTGTGCTCTGTCCTGTGTGTGCGCTGCAACATTGAAATTGTTCTACTGTGTGATGAATAAAAGTTCTCTTTTCTCTTATCTTATATCTTAAGGTAACCCAGCTGTAAAGAGTAGCCCTATGTTACAATACATTATTTTTTGTATAATATATATTTTTTTAAAGAGACCTGTTTGGGTTTTGTTTCCTTGAACAGAATGTAATGGAACAGTTCAACCCTGGGCTGAGGAACCTCGTCAACCTCGGCAAGAACTATGAAAAAGCAGTCGCTGGTGAGAAGTTCACTTTTCTCTTAAGACTCGAACATTTTCAAGTAAAGCAGAAAGCAGTGTGTTCTTTTGATCGGAGCGTTTATTTCCCTGTCCGAACAAAGAGGAAATACTTTTTACTTTGAGCTCTCTTGCACAAGCAGGACGGGAAAGCTCCAAAGTGCTTCCTCCTGCTTTGTGTGGTTCTAATTTTCCAGAGTTTGTCATACTCCTGCTCTGTCTCCATAGAGAATGACGTGGTATTAACTTTCTATTTCCATGGAACCGAGCAGGTGACTCAAGAGCGATGCACAAAGCCACTTAGAATACAGCAATAGAAATCTAAATACACAAACCACTGCGGGATCAAGTTTGACGTTATCACTTTAGGCTCCAGCAGCAATTTCAATGAATATGTCTGTTTGAAAATTAAAAATACTTACTATCAATGTGGGATTTTACTTTTGTTTTCAGCCATGATTCTGGCAGGAAAGTTATATTTTGATGCCGTGTCAAAAATTGGAGAGAATGCTGCAACATCCCCAGTGTCGAGAGAGTTGGGTGAGTTTTTCATTCAGTATCTTATTGTGTATTTTGTTTATAAGATTTGCATGTGAAGGTTACTGCGTGTCATCTGTCATGCACCAGTATAATTGAATTTGAATACTTTATTGTGAGCCATAAAAATATTACATCCCGCGCCATACAGCCAGCACTGTGCCCACACACTTGGGCAACAAATATGTTGAGGAACAATACAAAACAAAAAAGGTACAGGGAGAATCACTCTGTACAACATATATTTTTATTACAAAAGATTTTGCTCAATAAGTGTAATGAACAATAATAATGTATTGGTTTTATGCAGCGCCTCTCTGGACTCTCAAAGACATGCTTTGTCTTTACTCTTTCACTCCATACACAGTGGTGTTAAACTACTGCTGTAGCCACAGCTGCCCTGGGGCACACTGAAAGAAGTGAGGCCACCAGTGTGTGCCATTGGCCCCTCATTCTAGACAATGTGGGTGACGTGTGATGCCAACAACAGTTTGGCACTTTACAGCCAAAGCCGCCCCACTGTGGCACCTGGTGTTCCCTGAGGTCTCCCATCCCAGTTCTAACCAGATCCTGCCCTGCTTATCTTCTGACTTTCACATGGCGCCACATAATAATGTGATGTCAAATCAAAACAATATTTCTTGTTAAATTCCACATATTGAAGACTCATTGGAAAGACTCATTGGAAATGTAAAAAGCGAAGCAAGAACCAGAATCTTTATCAGCTTTATGACCGCTCACATCCAGTGCGTTATTACAGACAGATGGACAATTCTTTCCAAATGGCATGAAGTGACAGATGCGAATGAGACATTCAAAAAGGAATTAGGTTTTTTTGTTTTGTTTATTTTCGAAAGGAAAGAAAAGGAAAACAGGCCAAGAAGAGCCCTCTACTAATGTGAGTGACTACATGTGAGGGATCTAAATGTATCTGTCTCATTTCTGCCTCATGGAGAGAGAAACATAGACTCAATCCTGGGAACGGGGCAAAACAGGAATATTACTATTAGTTTGGGATCTTGGCGATCAGAGCTTTGTGACTTTGTGACATGAGCGTTGTACACACATCCATAAACTTTATTATTTATAGTAAATGATGGTGTGTCCATCCTTCAGTGGCACTAGGGCCTCTGTCAGGAGCTGTTAACTATAGCTCGGCGCCAGGGAACCATCTGCAGTTGTTGATCAGGACTAGAGCTGGAGGATTATTACTGTGGTGCATGTTTTTCTTTCCACCATTTTTGAATCATGTCCATTTGAACTTATAAATGGTGTTAAACTAAGAAAAGTAGTAGTGCACACAGCGAATCCTTCTTTATCACTATTGATGAACAGTACATGAACTCAAAACATTTCAAAGCTGGAACTTGTGTCTTAGTGTGTGCGTGTGCGTGTGAGTGCATTTGTGTGAGTGCGCATGTGTGATCTTTGTATCTCTCTCGGTCCACGCTGGTAGATGGTGTTGCTGAATGAATCTGAATTGAGTGGCTGAGTGAGGCTCCTGGATGTATAGTGGGGCAGATCTGTTGAAACCAGAGCCGCGGTGACGTTTAGCCGACTGGAAACCAGAGCCGCGGCGAGTCACTGGAGGATGGTGCTCTCGCCTCCTCTTTACCTTTGCCTCCTCCTGCTCCTGTGTTCCAGTTCAGATATCAGGGATTTCATTCAAGCCTATTCACTACCACAAACATTCTCTGTTTATCCCAAAAACATGACAGTTTTCAGAAAGTCTGCAAAAGCAGCAGAGCCCCTTTACATAATTCATGTAGATGTTTGCATGCCGTGTCAGGTGTGCGTGTGTCCAGACCACACGCTGCTGACCGTGCTGTACACACCTTTACGTCCAGAGCTTGGAGGATTCCTCTGATCAGGGCCCACCTGGAGTTTGTTGATTCTGGCTTCTGAGGTTGTCCACAATGTGACACACTCTCCTGCCTCCATATTACCTCATTCAGATAACAACTGTTGCTCGGCAACTGCCATCACAGTAAACATAATGGATTTGGATGATCACCTTATTATAAACCGGCTTTAGATGGCAGATATTGTATCTAATATGAGTGTGAACCTTCCAGAGTCAAAGTGCTTCCTCTGTACACTTTTCTAAGGCAGCGATCCCCGACGCTTTTACGACAGACAATCTAGTCTCCTTAATTCTGGTGTAATTTATCAAGTTTATTTTTCAGTGAGCAGACATTGTTATTATGTATAATATTACTATGATTATATATTATTTTCTCTTAAAGACATTTAGGTCTGAGCCAAAAGTGCATTGAATACAACATTTCCAAGAATATTTTGCAACTTTTATATTTATTTTCTGCATGAAGCAAATGGGCAGAGGTAAAACAACACAAGGGTTAGGCTTGCACATAAACACATGACACACATGAGCACAATGCTGAACTTCCTTCACACAGACATTATTGAGAGTGTGGTCCTAACGCAGCGTTCAGAGTTCTGAGCATTCATGTGTTTCCATCTACACTGTCCACAGGGCGTGAGTTTTGAATGATCTCTTTTCTAACCAGTGTTGAGGCAGGACGCAGTGAATTGTCTGCATTGTGTTTTTGCGTAGTCACTAAAACGGTTTGATGCAGGTTTCTCTACATATTAGAGCTGTGACTAATTGTTACTTACAGTATACATTTTAATAATGTTTATCAACTAATAACTATTAGTAATAGTCATTTTTAAAGTATGTTTTAAGACTCATATTTACGGCAAAATTAAATGTTTAATTAAAAACGCTTAACACAATTTTGTCAACATGTCTCTATGAACCTGTCATATGTATACTCACTGGCATTTCAGGATCTAAATCAGCTAATTTATTAAACAATTTAATGATCGCCCAGCTGTCAAATCAATCGTTATTATGTGTGTATGTGTTCCACAGATGGGACCTGTGAATAATGGGAGGCAGTTCTATATTCTTTGGAATATAATTTAGCTTGGAACATGTGAGAATGGGTTTTGTCATGACTTCACTGGAGTTATGTAGTGCCTGTGGTTCACGATAAACATTTCAATGCAAACATTTTCTTATAGAGAAAAAAAAACAATAATAGGAGATTGAAAGCTTGTCCTGGGCTAAATTTTGGGCACAAGACCTACAGTTTGTGAAATCATTTTAGCCAAATTTTAAGCTTAAGCTTTTATATGTGATAATTGAGCTGAAAACAACCAGAATATGAATAGTGGTTCCATAATTAGCGGGCCTTCAAACTCTTAGTTTTCTATAAAAATAAATAATCTAGTTACTAATTTCTGGAACCGGAGCAGACTACCAAGCAGTTTAGCTCTGCTTTAGCCAGACATTGTTCCTTTTCTAGTCCTACAGTTATGGATCAAAACATCATTTTTTTCCTGCCTTACGTTAGATTTAATTTACTTAATTGGGAAACAATATATAAATGTGAATTCATGAAAAAGTAAGTTAAAAAACAAGTTGTTAGTGAGTTATACTTTATTGTCCCTGTCTGAAAACATGACCTCTGCATTTAACCCACTAGAGCCTCCGTCAGCGGCACTGGTCGCCGTAGTACAGCGCCCTGTGACAAAGACAATTTTACCATTTTGTAATTAATATGATTCACATATTTATGAGCTCTGTGAACCTTCTCTTTATACTAGTATAGTAGCGATTTTTGCACACATCACTTTTTTGCATTACTTTGTGTTCTCTGTATTGACATCTATCAATGATTTTTGCAGGTGTGGTCCTCATGGAAATCTCTGAGGTTCATCGTAAAGTTCACCAGGAGCTGGAGGAAAATGTAAGTTGTCTCTTGTTCTGCATCTTTGGATACAGTGCACTTTATTTCCCTGCTGTGTGGACAGGCCTGAACATGCCCAGAGCCCAGCTGGGGCTAACGCTGTGTGCTGCTCTCTGCAAAACAATGCAGAGAAATATAGAAAGATGTTATTCACAACCAGCCACACTGAACACACCGTCAGTTTGCCAATGACTTTTCTCATGTGTTTGTGAGACAGAAAGTGACATTTTTAAATGGCACAAGGTTCCTGTGCGGCTCCAGGAGGTAGATTTGTGGTGAATCATGGTGTGAGTTAAACAGTTGAATAAATGCTTATATTTGGAGCAGAGGGTATTTGTGCGTGGCCGTGGCCCACGTGGGTGCTCTCTGTAGGGCAACACAACTGATGGAAGCGCATCAACACCCTCACACTGATGACAGCTGCACTCGGCTGTGGGCTTTCCCACGCTTCAGCACTGACTCATTTAGACGCACAACCTTGGACTTGGCTTTCACCCACTCACACGCTCCATACTCTCCCAATATCACTCCCCACTTCACACTTTAAACCAAGTGTTCTTCCTGTGAAACTAACTCATCCTCATGGTTTGATTCTTTTGTCTTTGTCTCTCCTCTGCCTGAAGTTTAAAAGGTTTCACCGGGATATCGTTGCTGAGCTAGAGACAAAAACTGACATGGATGTCAAATACATGACAGTGAGTATCCCTGAGGCAGCACTTTACACTCAGTATTACCAACATACACACATACATTTGTACAAACATTTGTACAAACATACGTACTTGTTCATCGGGCACATCATGTGGCACAGTGGTTAGCACTTGCTTCACAGCCAGAAGGCCTTGGGATGGAAGTTAGCGGTGTGGAAGTATGCATGTTCTCCCTGTGTCTCTAATGGTTTCCTCCTCCCCTACCATGAAAAACATGAATGAAATGAGTGAGTGAATGATTGGAGGGTCCCATGTGCACCTTCTATGTCAGGTGACCCCCGCTACAGTCACCATGTGTAGAATTAAAGATGCCCATTTTCATGCTCTGTCCTGGCAGAATACATGTAATGTATACTGTATACATGTACTGTATGTATGTATGTATGTATTTTTATAGAACATGTGATGCAACAAGACTAAATATTACAGAACTTTTTTCCTAATCATTAAATCCAAACCACAGCATACTGACTATATTCCATGATGTTTCCAGGCCACATATAAGAGATACCAAATGGAGAACAAGATGAAACACGATTCTCTGGAAAAGTCACAGTCAGACTTGAAGAAATTGAGAAGAAAAAGCCAAGGCAAAAACGCCAACAAGTATGAAAACAAGGAGAGTGAGGTGAGAGTAAAGAACATTTAGAGGACGATCAGTTTTACACTTCTCTGCGTCTGTAATCATACGCTGCATGCTTTGTTGTGATTATCTTTGACTATGTTAATTATACAGTTTAACGCAGCCTTGTCAAAGCCAGGTCCTTCGGGTGTGTCTGTGTGCGTCTGACATGTCTGTCTGAAGGACGAGAAGTAGTATCTAAAAACTTTAGTTTTTAGATAGTATTTATTTGTTTGATACTGGAGCTCTAAAAGTCAGTTTGATCACATGTAGGGGATCTATCATGTATCTATTAGCACCAGTAGGGGACTAGGGGCCTTCTGTGTTTGGAACCAGTTGCTGCCAGGAATGCAGCACAGGAGAAAATATATTTAGTTACAGAATATTCAAAAACCTTTACATGGTTCAATCAGAGTTATTTCAAAAAGCTTAACTGAGAATGTGTGTGTCGTAACAAGCAAAAATGCAGTTACTCAAAAAAAGCATTCTGATTATTAACTCTCAGGCCATGTATTTAGTTACTCCCTTACAAGTAGAAGTGCAAAAGAAATCTATGTATTAGTTATTTGGGTTTTGTATCATTAAAGAATAAGTTTCTAGCTGATTTCCAAACACTGTTCTGATCTGTAAATGGTCCCGATTTGATACTGCTCTGTATGAACTGAAATGCTGCTCATCTTTTTATTATTTGAAGCCACACACGCCCTCGGGCTGGCACTCAAATGGCCCTGACACAACCTGTTGAAGCTGATAAGGCATTCTCTCTCTGCTTTCGAGTGTAAACCCATATTTTATAACAGCTGCACCCAGGTGATTAAGCTATTTAGAGAGAATTCATCACCTTTTGTTACTTTTCGTTCATTGTGCGCCTCATGTATTGTCAATAAAGGAACGCGCATTGTTGTGAAATGTGTGGCAGAAAAGATAAGAAAATCAGTCGAATCAAATTAAACTGCTGCAGAATGAACGAAATGTAGTGAATGGAAAAGTGTTGAGTGGTTGATAGAGAACGGATGGATGCACTTTCATATTGTATATTGTTGTGTATTTCTCTGTAACCAGGGACGACAGATGGAAACTAGCGATCTATCTATTATCTGGTGCAGGACACATCTGTCGATATGAGCTCTTCTCTGTACACTGTCCTTTCTATAAAGACTTCATTGTTTTGTGACTTGACTTTTCAGATAAGATGGAGAAAATTATGTACATAGATAGAATCACTCAGGTTGTGCAAAAAGACAGGAAATGTGCAAATATGTTAAAAAGTGAAAGATAGTCTCTTTTGTGCAGGATATAATATCTACAATAAGATTAAAAGGGACTATAGCCGTGCAAGTTTTTTCAGTCCTAGTGCAGGTTGTTAAAGTGACTTGTTGTACAGTCTGACAGCGGTGTTGTGGAATAAGTGCTCTTCTTCTCTTGTTGGTGTGGGCAGTGCCTGGAGACCTTGGCGGGGCGTCAGATGGACATGCAACTGTTCATCGCACAGGGCTGCAAAGAGGCCTTACTGGAGGAGAAGAGGCGCTACTGTTTTTTAGTTGACAAACACTGCATGTTTTCTTACCAAACGGCTGCTTTTCATGACAAGGTTTGCACCCCTTCACACTGCTCGGCCGTCCACACATGTATACTCAACCTTCGTTTCTACAAAGGCCAAGGATATTCTCAAAGCAAAGATCAGCACGTGGCAGGATGAGTGCAATGATGCGTCTGACATGCCAGAGAGTGTGCTCAACATGATCGAAGCCCTGCGCACACCGGTGTCCATCACGCCGATGCCCTCGCCCTCGCCATCACGTCACAGTGTGGTGCGTCTCACTCCTCACACTCAGGCTCATGTGACATGGGACAGATATAAATGTTGTTTTTATCTTCACAGAACATGTCTGATCCACCTGCTCCTACGAAAAAGGCTCAAACCAGCCCACTAGCAAATCTGTTTGAACAAGGAAGCCAAGAGCAAGGTTCTTTTATTGTTTGTCTTTCATTACTTTTCCGCCGTGGTGCAATATGTTGTGTAACCATAAACATCTGTTGACAGTGTCAGACTATGGTAATGGGGACGATGCCGGCCTCGCCAGGTCAGTGTCGGTCGCAACAGGCCTGAACCATGCAGTGAAACGGCCTCGAGTGCGGACCATCTTCCCTCACAACGCTGGCAACAACAGCACTTTGATCAGCTTTGATGAAGGAGACGTCATAGTTCTGCTCATCCCTGACGAGAAGGACGGCTGGATGTACGGGGAACTGGAGAAGAACGGAAAGTCAGTCAGAATCACTTCTGATCTTTACCCTTTTGAGTGAATCCACACTTTGCTTGTTTGTCTTCGCTACTTCAAAGTGCTGTGTTCAGGAGCTGCTCTGTGAGGGACCTGTGATTTATGTGGCCAGGACTGCTTTGTCCCTGGAGCCAATGGTCTCCAGTCTGATTACTGTGCACGCCTTGTACATAAAGCAGAGAGCTCTGCTGATAAGGAAATCCAAGTAAAGCTGCTGAAGCTGCAGTGCAGGTGGTTTCAGATCCAGAGCATTGTCTGCTCCACATCATTCCAAACAATTTGACTCAATCCTCTTAATAATCAGAAAACAGTGGAAGAAAAAAAATGCAAATGTCTTTGTTCAAGCAAACTAGTGATTCAGCCAAAAGTTACAGGTCATATCTGTGTGGATAAAAGGTTTGCAATCAACCAAGCAAAGTAATAACATCTCCATGGCAACAAGCGTCTACCGGACCTTGTCAGGAGAGTTTTGCAATGGACAAAACAGTATGAAGTGCTGTCTTTATAGTGTTTATACAATTTCATTTCATTTAGTATCAAAACATGGCTAAATATAATGCAGCTTTTTCATATGGACACCCGGTTTGTGAACCACTGACCTATTGCATAATAAAAACTAAATATTGCGTGAGAACCCCTCAAACATCAATACAGAAGTGATGATGATGATGATGATGGACTGATTCTGACTCCATCACAATGTGGCTGTAATACTGTTGCACAAATATCAACAATAGTATCCAGTAGATTGGCCCCCACAACCCCCAATGCATTTATGATGAAGTGCCTTTATATGACTAATAAAACTAAAGCTTGGGAACATAACTTTCAACTCACAAAACATTTAACTATGTAATATTTTCCAGTTTTTCTGAAACTAGTTCTTTGATCGAATTTTCTTCATTTGTAGTTTCCCTTTTTGTTTTTATACACTCAAAGATGCTTTACAAAAAGGACAAATGAAAAACAATTTAAATCTAAACAATAAACTGTTGACGGTGTATATTGGAGGATTTTCCCAAATTTTAGTCAAGAACCGCCCTCTCCAATTTTTGAACCAATAGTCTTGATGATCCACCCGGTGGTAGAAAATAGTCCTTTATACCTTTTAAGGGTCTGCATATTTGAAGTTCTGAAGTGAGTCCGAGTCCAGAGAGTGGGGGCAGCTGCAGCAAAGGCTCGGCTCCAGTAAGATTTGGCACTTTGTTCTGACGGGATTGAGGAGGTTGGTGTAGATTCGAGGCGGCGGGTGGGACCGTGATGATGGAGTAGGTCAATGAGATATGAGGGGCCCATATTATGAAGGGACTTGTAACCCTAACCCTTGTATTGTATGTGGTATGGAATAGAGAGCCAGTGGAGTTACTTGAGGACAGGGGTGATGTGTTCTCTGCTGCTGTTTTTTTGTCAGCAGGCAGGCAGCTGAGTTATGGATGTATTTTATTATACATTATCGTTTTTGGAGATGAGTGGAACAGAGACCATAGACAAGGCTGTTGCAGTATTCGACTCTGGAGGTGACGAGGGGCGGAAACGGACAAGGTTGTGATATAGTTTATGTATGGGTTGAATGAGAGTGCAGAGTATAGTTTAACGCAGAGGTTGCACACAGAGGGGGACAGAGTGGCCATCGATGGTGAGGAGAGGATGGATTTGGGTTCTAGTGAGGATGAGCTCTGTTTTAATGCTGTTAAGTTTGAGAAAGTTGTAATCCATTCATGTTTTAATATAAATCGGAAAGGCAGTGTGTGATGAAAGAGAGGAAGACTGGGGTGATGGCATTTGGTGTAAATGTAAACCTGGGTGTTGTCTGTGCAGTTGTGAAGATTCTATGAACTCACACGATAAGTTATACTTATAATGTGCAAGGCAAGTTTATTTGTATAGCACAATTCATACACAAGGCAAGTGCTGAACAAAACAAGATTGCATTAAAATCATTAATAACCACAGTACATTTAAAAGAAAGATAAAAAATATAAAATCCCTCAGTTGTATGCACAGCTAAACAGAACCGTTTTTAACCTGGTTTTAGACATTGTCAGAGAGGAGGCCTGTCTCACATCTTCAGGAAGATTGTTCCAGATTTTAGCAGAATGAATCTGAAATGCAGCTTCCACCATGTTCAGTTCTGACTCTGGGCTAGAGCAGGAGTCCCGTACTTTTTAATGTGCATAAAAGGGACGGAAAAGACATTCAACACTACATGGACAATAATAATAATGCCGACCTGAATCATTTCCTGCTTTAAGACAAACAGTTGAATGAATACAAACACATCAGGACATGTTGGTTGTTGACTCCATGAAGTCTATTGAGGTTAATTAGGTCATAATCAATAACGGTACTTCAGTAAACAAAAAGCGCTTTAGTCCTGTGCGTTCGTATACAGTACATTGAAAGCCGCCTCACCAAATGCTGCTATTTCGGCCTCTTGAATACGATTGAATGTCACTTGACTTCCGACTGTTTGTTGTGCAGGAGGGGCTGGTTCCCTTCGTCCTACTGTCGTGCCCTGACGGAGCCGCTGGTGAACAACAACAGGTAAAGAAACGTGTCCAGTGTCCAGTAAAGCACTCACAAGCCGGGCTCACGTTTCAGCTGCTGTATTGTTGGCAGGACTTCCTTCAGTTACTCACGTTAGACTGATAACCTTTATAGTCCAGTGCACGGCTCTGCTTGCCGACGTCTATACAGGTGTCTCCGAAAATTAGAATATTGTGGAAAAAGTCATGTAATTTATGCAAAAGGAGGCCCGAAGGAGAGATAAATGCAGTACGAGATGAACGTACTGTTAATAATTGTGAGATATTTATTTAATTTGGGAAAGCTAATTTTAGGTTTTTATTATCTGTAAGCCATAATCATAAAAATTACAAAAAAATCAGACCTCCAGTCCTATTCCTTAGAGAAATTCTTGGATCCAGACGCCGTTCCACATCCCCTTCAAAATGTAATTTACTCCTTGTTCCAAATCTGTCCATAACTTTTTGTGTTTCTGTGCCATGGAAAAGTATTGTGTTCGTATGATCTTCGTACATCTAGAAGCTGATTTATCTGCCACTTAGTGTTGATTATTTTTGTGATCGTAATGAAGCAAAATATGAAAAGGAAAACGAGGTACGAATACATTTTCAAGCCACGGAATCTTAAAACGGACTAACCCTGGCGATTACACTACCCCCTGTCAGAGGTAATAACAGTTTCTCAAATTACTGACTGTTTCACTATATTTTTACAGTGTAATAGTTATCTGTGAAAAGCTTCAATGGCCAATATTAAGGACAATAGGACCAGAGCGTGTAGTAAAGCGGTGTCTTGTGCCCCTCAGTGTCTCCGCAGCCCCGTACAGAAGCAGGAGTGTGGTCAACCTGCACCATCAGGACACGGAGACGGACGAGGCCACTATGGTTCTGCCCCCAGCGGACTATTGTAACGCGTCGCATCAAAACCCAGTGAAAAACAGCATGTCGTCAAGTAGCATCGTCAACGACAACCACCAGCCCTCTCCCACTCCCTCCGCCACCTCGTCCTCCTCGGATCCCAACACGGTCAGTCCTGTGCCTAGTTCAATATTTTTTATAAAGATCAAACCAAAAGTTACAGATTGAGCCTCATAGAAGTCTGAAGGTTGTGGGTTCGATTCTCTGTGTTTCTCACTTTGCCTGGGTGGGTTGCCACTGTGGGAAGGTAGTATATCAAACATTCAGCAGTTAATGCCACGTGTTTTGTTAACTTCAAATGATTGCTATTTTCATTTTAGTTTTATAGTGGGAGATGCAATTTTTGGGAACCTGGGCTCATACTTGACTTACTTCAACCCTTTTAATGTTTTTTTTTTTCTTTTTTGGATTTTCTAAGATGTAGTAGCACTAATTACACAAATGAATGAATGAGTGAATACCTTTATTAGTCCTGCAATGGGGAACTTATACGGTCCGTGTACGTTTGCGTTCAATACATTTTCTATTTTTGAAGAAATGGAAAATCAGGCACACAGCAATATACAAAAGTTTTTTTTCTTTGCTTATAAGACATGTATATTATAATAACCGGATTTGGGAACTAGAAAATGCAATAATTTACCTTTTTAATTATGTATTTAATAAATTTCGGCGTCAATCGATTACCCGGAAGTGAAACAAGTTTGTTTACTCGCACGGGATTAGTATTACCTGTGGACCCCTGATAATTTGTGATAATCACGGAGAACGTCTGAGATTTTGCAGTGCATTCACACGGGATAAGCAATATCTGTAAAATACTATTTTTTACTGACATCTCACATAAGGCTGCACGTGCGCGGCTCTCCCCCTTCACGCAGTCCATAGTCGCGTCTGACCACAGTTAATATATACAGTCTATGGACCACAGCAGCCACAAGGACCATGAAGACAAACATTTTACTGCTCTACAGCTCTCTGGCCCATACTGTCTGTAATGTTTAGTAACAGTTTGTATGGACTACTCGTGAACCACATACTCTGCTAAGATAAGTGCGAGCCGACAAATAGTAACGGCTGCAGCAACACGTCTGTACTGTATTATGACAGAGTGCAAAGTAAACGTACAAATGCAACCCATCAGTCTGATCATGTAGTGTCGGTGAACACATTACACTGTCCTCTGCACTTCTCCATAGACCTCACAGAGACAGCAGCAGCCGCGACTCTGCAGCTGTTCACAGCCGCGATATGCGACTCCTCTGCTCATTGATTAAAAAAAACGCAGAAAGTCAAGTGAAAGTGATCACAATCACTGACATGCAGATTCTCACGGGATTAGTATTATCACAGGACGTATGTGTTTGGACAAATACAGGAGGTCATTTGCGTATTAAATTATACTAAATTATAGCGAATATGGCTGATGTAAACAAACTTGTTTCACTTCCAGGTAATCTATTGACGCCAAAATGTATTAAATACATATTAAAAAAGGTTAATTATTGCATTTTCTAGATCCCAAATCCGGTTATTATAATATATATATGTTTTATAAGCAATGAAAAAACCAAAATGGTCATTTTTGCATATTTCTGTGTGCCTGAAAATGATTTTCCATTTCCCTCCAAAAATAGAAAATGTATTGAACGCAAAAGTACACGGACCTTATACACATTAACATTTGTTTTATATTTTTTGTACCCTCAGTTTTTTTTATTATAAGCCTTTAACCATCGAACTGCATTTCAACCATATGGTAAAGTGCCAAAAACCAAGTGAAATGCCCCAAAGAGGTATATTTCAGTTCCAAGCATGCATCAAGTAGATATAGAGAAACTACAGAAGGGTGTTGACCTACTTGAGAATAAAATGTAAGAAATCTGGACATAATCGGTGCATTCACACATGTCCTGGTCTGATCTAGAAGAATAAAAAGAGGTGTACAATGTTTATTTCATCACATTTAGTTTTGCTTGAGTTTGATCCAGCTTAGTCCTGTTGTAGACCTGTTTGGCCCTGGTCTTGTCAAGGATCAGTTAAAACAAGGCGTTCCAACTATGTGGTGTGTGCAGTGTGAATTGTTTTTTTTGTCGTGTGTGTGTTGTGATAACATCCTGAGCTGTCATGTGACTAAGTTGGTGATGCCATAGAAGCTTCTCTGGAAACTCGACGCACTCATCGGTGATGCTAATGATTGAATAACTGATCTCACGCTTGTTTCTGTCTTAGATCCATTTCTTTTGACAGGGAAACTTTAAGGCATTATTTACATATGATACAAAGAAGCAACAAGAGCTGTGGATTTATGCTGGGATGTTTTTAATAAATGTAAATATTTGTGGCTGGTTAAATATCATGTTTGCTCAATCAGCTGTGCGGCGAACACCGTGGGCTGTTGTTAGGGGTATTTTATGCTTCTCGGAAACAATGAGCCGTGTGTGTAATAACAATAATGTATGTGTTTGTATGGTCGTATTCATGCTGGCTAGTGTTGAAAATGTGCGTTTGTTTGATGTGAAAAGGAGAGTTTTAGGTCACGACAGTCATCTCTGGTCTGACTGTTTCTATGTCATGAGCAGAGAGGCATAAGAGGACAAACCAATGTACTAGGGTCGCAGTAGCTTTACTATTGATACTACGATAGTGTATTTCTGATTGCTAATACTTTACGTTAAATGAGGCTGTCGTACTCCAAATAATTCAATGAGTGATAATGAATACTTTTGTTGATTTTGTTTTGACTCTTGAGTATTTTATCCGCAGCAGGCCCCGCTTCAGTTCTAGTCTCTTGTATTTTAGCCATTACCACAGTTCAATGGGTGAGGATGTAAATATAGATTGATTGCTTTAATATCTTCACCCCATTCATCATCATTTGCCAAATCCTCAAAAGTACAATCCTTATCTCTGGCATCGGAATATAATGCGCTTCTTCTCATTTTATCTGGTGTTTCCTCTAATCTGGGGATTCAGTTCCATGAAAAGTCATATTAAAGGTTTTACTAAAAATGTGTTTTTAAAAATCCGCACCATATTTGTTTCTGTATAACCTCTCGTTTCATAACCCACATATCCAGACTACCAAAGGTGTTTTCCACTTGATCTTAGCTTCCACTTTGTTTACAGAGACTGCAGCACAAACACATCTCAGAATAGAGCCGCTGGTGAGAAGGGGGTGTGTGTCTGCTACTTTTCTTTGAAAGTTGGATGTTTCAGATTTTACATCCAGGGTTATTTTGTAGTGTGGGATTTGTAAAATTGTATATATAGACAATTTTTATATAGATGCAGTGTTGAAAAAATTATGAAATAAATCTTATTTTGCGTCTCTACATGAACAACCTATTTGAAGTAAGCAATATTGAAAAGGACAATTTATCTGAAACATTTTTACAGCTTATAAAAATGTGGATTTGCTGACTGGCATCAGAACGTCCTGACAGTGCCACTACTGGATTCGAGCTGTTGCTGAGGTGGGATGTTATAAGAAAGCAGTGTTTTCTTAAAGGCTCCTGAGCATTGTGAAAGAAAGTCAAATGGACGACCTAAAAAAATTGACACCAGCTTTTGGCGAAAGGATCCAAACAGTCTGTCAAGACACTGAACGATCCTCGACCCAAATGAGGCCCTTACCGGTGCAGCTCAATAACCATCAGAGCATCTGAGACTGAAGGGCCCACAGACGCTTCAGACACAGACCGTGTCTTTCCAAGGCCTGTTTCCTTCATTGCCACAGAACAGACAGTTTGGGCTTTGCAAGAAAGAACCAAGCAAGAGA